CCTCCAAGCAGAATCCCCCCCGGGGATTCCCACCTCCCTCCAAGCAGAACCCCCCCTCTCCCACCCCAGACAGAGCCAGAGCCACAAGTGGTGTCAATCCTTTAATGACCCACTCCTCCCACAGCCCCCTTACATTACTGACTGCCACTCACCCCCCCGCCACAGGCGGCACAGCAGGTCCTGTCTGGCACGGGGAGCACTGGAAAAACGGGAGCACCCTCCAGGCTCCCGCACTGCAGCCCTGGGGGCCCCAGCAGGCATCGCCCCCCTCGGTCCAACCCACCGGATGCCGAGGGCTGGGCAGGGGTTACAGCCAGACAGACAGATAAGAAAATACTTCTGATATTTCTCAGAAACAGCTTTTAGAAACCACAGTTTTTACAACTCCCCATAGAAAAGAGGGGTTTGGGCACAGGCCACAGCCCAGGTCCTCAGCTAGTAGAAACGCTTGTTCCGCTCCTGGCGTTTCTGGAAGACCACAGCTCCCACCACGGCACAGACGATAATGCCCAGCAGCGCACAGAGGAGGAGCAGGAACACCTTCCAGCCCGTCAGAGGCCCGCTTCGGAAATTCCCCGTCGGGTCATCCACATTGTCTGCAAGGATAAGAACAGCTACAGAGACCAACCCAGGAGACCTTGGCTCCTGCAGGGTGTCACGGGGAGTCACAGCCCTGACACCTCTGAAGAGGCCTTTAAGAGTTCAGCCCTGCCATCCCAGTCCTCCACCGGAGGTTTCTGGAGGCCAGAGGCTCACCTTTGGGTGATTTAAGGAGGCTGACGCTAGGCTCAATCTTGGTCCAGTCAACGCTCTCATCTTCTACAGGATGCTCTACCATGAGCTGGAATAGCTTCATCGAGATAATGTCATGATTGTCTAGGAAACAACCATCAGCACCAAACACTGTCAGAGGCCTTGAGAGATGTCCACATGCCAGAGCACCCCTAGGACCACACTTTGCCAGGTCCAAGCTTCCCTCCCTCTCAAACCACTCTCACCCCCCCCCGTTATCACACAGCAATTTGAGACGCTCCTTAGCTCTCAGGTGCCTCCCTTCCCAGGCCACGGGTCCCTACCCAACAGGGATTCAAGACTTTAACAACTCAGGGGAAAGAAGCCATCAAAGCCATCCAATGCATCCATAGCACTATATTCCAGGGTCCAAACAGCAGGCATTCCTTTTCCAGACAAATCTCCAGTGCCAGCAGAAGCACCGAAGAAGTAGCCAGTTGGCAGCTGCACCCCTGCAATGTCAATGCAGTTCTTCCATTCGTTCTTGTCTTCCACATCGGTCATCACCTGTAAGACCAGGGGAGCGTCACACCAAGAACACATGCTGCCATCCCACCCACACGCAGCTCTTCTGGAGCTGGAGGCGCAGGTGGCCAAGCCTGGAAAACCATCCAGGTCACCTACTACTGACACAGCAACACCTGCCCCTCAGCACTGCCCCGTCTAACATGCGAGAGACACCCTGCAGAACACATCTCACCGTCAGGCGGCCTCGGGAGTACCGAATTGCCAGGAAAGTGTCGTGGTTCTGGTTCCGAAGGTCAGCGGTGCACCCCGCCAGCTCTGTCCAGCGCCCGTCCTTGCTGTGGTCGTATGTCAGGGAGCCGTTGTTCACCATCGCAGAGATGTAGGGGAACACGCGCTGCAGGGAGGAGAGAGCCGTTGCTTTCAGTCTGCAGGAGCCTTTGAGCTGCAGACCAAGAGCCGCCGCCCTCTGCCTGGTCAGAAACCTCAGCGAGACACGGCGACAGAGCCACAGTTCTGCTGCAGTCGGGTACGGAGGGTAGAGCAATGAAATCAAGGCTCATTTTCTACACAAAGCTGCTTCTAAACTGAGCGTGAGTTTGTTCTGGCTAAAGCAGGGCAGCCATTTCTGACCTTCTGTACCCTCTAAGCCCACACCACACTGCATGGCCAGAGCAGTGAGACTGCCCCAGACTTGCAGAGAAAGCACCAGACAGGAAACGTAAGAACAGAGCACAGGATTCGGAACAGGAAGAAATCTTTCTTGAGCAGCTTAACCACACTCAGGGCTTTGTAGTCAATAGATTACATACACCAGGAAAGGCCATCTGGAGGCAAGAACTCACCTCCCAGCAAGCATCAAGACAACAGAGGGACTGAGTCATTTCCAGGTGCTTTACGACTTAAGTGACATGTTTTGGGTGTCACAGATCTCACTAGGACAGGTATGTTTTCTGACTGCGCCATAACAACATCCAGGAATATGGAGCAGGAGAGAAGAAAAGGACCAGTAGCCCCCATGGGACTGCTCTGTATTTCAGCCACAGGGAATTCTGGAGCAAAAAGCCAGCCCAGGAGTTTCTCTTTTAGAGACATTCGGGTTGGTAACAGAATAAGGCTAGAAACAGTGTGAAACAATCAAACAAAGCACAGAGAAGTTCAGGAAATGACACTCAGGATGAATGTACTTTCAAATGAATTTCTCTAACTACTTAATAGGTAGTGCACTGTTTACAACACGTCTGTGTCGCCCTCTCATGCAGAGGGGAAAAGGCCTTGGAAACATCTGTGTAGCCAACAACAGAAGGAGCAAGGATCTTATCTCCATTAGTGCACGTACAAACTCTCCCATTTACCAGCTCCCATGACAGGAAGAGCAGCCCACTCCCACATAAGGACTTCTCCTTTATCCAGGCATGAGCACAAAGCCGTGAGGAACGGCCTCCTTGGCACTGAACAAGCTTCTTGAACTACTCACCTCTGTCACTTCATCATTGGGATATGTATCAAGGAAGATAGCCAGTCCGTGGAAGTTGTCCTTGCTGCCAAAGACAGGACCTGGAACAGGACAGAACACAGAGAACTGAAGGCTTTCAGAAGGAATTTGTGCTTAGAGACTTCCAGTGAAAACAGCTGCAGGAGCTGTTTATTGCCAGGCAGATGACTGAGGGTGCCCATTCCCAGGGCAGCACGCACAGGACACACCACCCCGATCCACTGAAACCAGAGAGGAGCTCAAATGTCCTCCCTGGTGAGAAACCTTCCAGGACAGGGGCAACTCCCTGAGCTGCTCCGGGGCACGTGCGAGTGCTGACAAGGCCTCAGCCCAGTTGGGCAGCCCTCGGCTGCATGCCATACCTGGCACCAGGCGCTCCTGCGTGTACCACAGGGCCAGGCCGTCCCCGTGCAGGTTCTTCTTGCCGGCTCCATGGATCTTGAAGTGGACGTGGAGCTCCCAGTCCTTGAGGAAGCAGGG